ATTTTCTGTTGACAGTATCAAAAGTTTTCGTTAAGTCGACGAAAGCCATGTAGAGGTCACGGTTCTGTTCCAGTGGCAAGAATGGACTCAAGACGACCTTCAGGTGACCAAGATTGCAGGGGACTTCCAGAGCTCCAGTTAGTTGGAGATTGCCTGACGCTGGTCACCCAAGTGCGGCTTTGTGTAGGGTGAGCTCCCCTAGCCTTATGTCCTCCCAAACTAATCTGCAAGGCGAGGGGGGGGGGGTGCAGTGGTTGGTAGGCATCAGGGCGTGTCCGCACTCCAGCGGACCTGCGCACCATACCTCTGGGGCCCACTGCTGCTTCGAGATCCCTAACAGTATTTGCCTGGGGTCACAAGACACCCAGTTACCGTACATTGCCACGAGGAGGCACTGAAGGGTCTTGGTGATGGAGAGGCTGTGTACCGGCAGAGGAGAGACTTACACACTCGGCTCTCCCTTTTCACCACAAGGGCTACCCGGCAGCAGCAGCTGAAAGCGTACGAGTAGCAAGCAAAGCACGCACCTTAACACTAACTTAATGTTACCACACTAAACACATCACATCACCCTGTGGGTAGTACCCACCAACACACACAGTATATTGTTATGCAACAACATGCATGTATGGTACCAGTGTGCTGTTTCTTTATAATTAAAATTTACTATATGAAACAAGTTTGTTGATGCACACTTTGTTACAACTTCCATTGTCCAGTGTTAGTACAAGAAGAAACCAGAGTACCTGGAGAAAACTGGAGATGATTGATAAGGTCACACTGGATATGTAGCACCCTTCTCACATCTGACCAGACACAATGGTGAGAGCACGCGTGTCACCACTGTACCACCAACACCGCCACAATTGGAGGCTCAGAAATTCAACAATCAAGTATTTAACTGACATCTACAATACATGGACATTCGAAAACAAAATTCTATGAACAGGAAAGGAGCCCAAGAGCAGTATATGTGGAGAGTACAGTATACTTTTAAGAGTAACAGGTTATTACCTGACACAAATCATCACGGAAAGTATGTAACACAAACCAGAATTCACAATGACAACAGCAGTGCTTGTATATCTAACTGTAGGCAACTCTATTTTGTCATGAAGAAGCAAATGTGAACACAAGCAGCAGCTGCCGCCTGAATAGAAGTTTCTACCACAGGAGTCACATCCAAGGACTGGCCGGTGACACAGACATATCTTTGTCTTCCTAATTTTCTTCCTCTGGTTACACAAAAACTTTTTCACGAAGGTTTTAGTGACTAAAGATTAAATACTATGGGCAAACATATTTATATAAATACACCGTCCTTGAAGCACTAATAGGACGCAAAGGAATTTGACTTCTGGGGTCACTCTTGCAAAGGCTGATCTTATTTACAAAGTACAATACTTATATACCCTGATACATGCAAGTTAGACTGACAGTGAGCAGGAAAAAGGATATTGTATGCTGGGATTTTGTGTATATGAGTTTTTTCCCAAGGGATTTTGTCTGTGCAGCAACAAAAAAATGTCAGTGGTAGGTGGGTGTGCATGCCTAGTACCACTGCTACTTTAAATCCTTGAATTCCACTTCACTGCTCCAGCCTACTGACTCGGTCTCATTTACTGCATTGCTGAGGACTGCCATTCCCTTGAACCGTCTATTTACTGTCTGTACCCCAAATATCCTCACTGCTAACTTCATTGCTTAGTACAGTATGTATAAAGAGTATATATTGTACTGCATATACCAATTCTAGTTAATAAAATGGTAAAACCTAATCTATGTGTACAGTACTGTATTTTGCCCATATGGATACATAAAAATAATGTAATATATTCAATGAAATTCAGAATGAGAAAATTTCATGCACCTAAGATTAGTCGCAGCCAAATTTTGTATTGATGTTCATTTTGTAGAAGTATAATTACAACAATAGGGAAAGACTGATACTTTTGAGAGAAGATGAATCAAGTAGACGTAATATCATTTAAAAATATCATACACAGTGTCTTTCAGTGATAGAGTTATTCAGAAACACTACGAGGCATCTAAAATGTTCCTATATACTGTATAACAAAATCAGAATTTGTGTTGTCACAGCTGCCTGATGCATCTAAATTCATCTATCAGTTGTTATTCATACTGGTAATTATTTTATTATTACTGTAATATATATATAAAACAAGTCATTTCTGCACCATTCACACACTGGTTAAACATTTTGTACAGAAAACTTCAACTTGGAAAATAATAGTACAAGCAGACAGTCCAGAATTAAAATAAAGGCTTTATTATACCACATACTGCACATAGGAAACATTAATGTAAGTGCTAAGAATCTTTCTCCACAACATAAAACAGTTATCAGATCATAATCCAATTCAGCAATGTTAATAATCCATGTGCAACAAATTATTAAATTATTTATTTAATTACTGCACATTAATTATTTTACCCAAGACCTTGTAATAAACTCAAACCTAATTCACATTAATATTTTTCCCAAATGAATAACACTTATTGGGCAACACGTAATACCACACACTTAACATCATTCAGTCTACCATTTGATTAACTGTAAAGTAATGTACTGTATACAAATACAGTATTGAACACAGTTTTAAAATTTCTAAACAAAATTAACACCATGCATTGTTTCCAACTAACTTTTGTTCTTTTCAGGACAATACTAATTTGTGCTTAGTACAGTGCAGTAATATGCCCGAATAATAATTTTATACAACTATACATGGCATTATTTTGTGTAATTACAGCAACTAAACTAGCTATTACAGGTTGACAACCCTTTATCCGAAATTCCAAAAACCGAAAAAAAATAAAAAATTGTGGGCAAAACTTTTTTTTTTTCTTAAACAGGGATTAGCCCACCCGGGTATAGATCACTGACCCACATCGGGGCCTGGGGGGCGAAAATGTAATAGTAATAATAATTATAATAATTATTCATAGTAAATAAAAATTTAAATAAAAAATACACCAAAATAAATAATGATAACAATAATTGCCTCCTAAGATGTCCCCACACACAACGCTTCCGTGACGCCTGCTGGACCACCACTCCACGACCCCCTGACGGAGACACGATGATCCTCCCCATACTGGCCAGATATTTTGTAAATAATATTGATTATATGTTAAAGGAATATCCTTCCTTCCTTAGGCTTTAGTAAGCCCCTTTATAATATTTATACTGTATATACTTGTCACACTTGCCAGATGCTTCTGGTGTCATTGTACAGGGGTACCTAGTGACAGCACTAGGATCCCGCTTCCTCTATCAAGGAATAAACAATTGAAATTAAAAAATTGAATTGATAACAATAATAATAATAATAATAATAATAATAAAATATAATAATAAAATTAATAATAATAATAATAATAATAACAATAATACTGTAATAATAATAATAATAATAATAATAATAATAATAATAATAAAGAAATACAAGAATGAAAAAAAGATCAAGTGAGAAACACGACCTAGACCTATGAATTGTTATTATTATTATAATTTTTATTATATTTTCGCCACCCAGGCCCCAATGTGGGTCAGTGACTTGTGCCCGGGTAGGCTAATAATAAAAAAAAATTTAACCATTCTGAAAACCAAAAAATTCCAAAATCCGAAATGCCTCTGGCCCCAAGGATTTCGCATTAGGGATTGTTAACCTGTATTTGTGCAAGATGATAACAATGAAAAAAGTCATTTGATGCTCTGCCAATAATTTAAAGAGGATAAAATAACAGAGCTAAAAAAGGTAGGTTATGAATGCGAGTCTTCTCCCCTTCATATGAAAGAAAGCCTGGAAAGAAGGCCCATTCATGTGGACTGGAAGGATGCTGTGAAAATACAGTACCAACTAAAATGAGAAGGGACTGATCAATGGAATACTGTTAACAATACCACAATGTTTATGTAAAAAAAAAATAATAAAAAATATAAAGTATACTGTATGGAAATGAAAATAAGCAAATGGCAACTTAAAATAACAAGATAAACAGAAAATGATTGTACATTATTATGTGTATGTGCACTTGGGAGAATAAAAATCCTATTTTCATATAAACGAAGAGAGAAAGATACGATGGCGACTATATACAGTATACATATAAAATAAAATTAATAAGATATTTTTCAATGGCAAGAATTTTACAGTATGGACCCAGGCGATGAATCACAAGAGCCATACTGACACTCTCAACATCTGCGGCCATTCAATCCAATTCTAAATACCTGTACTGTAACATAAGTAATCTGCTATGATATTCCCCTTCCACAATGTGGGCCACATATTGGTCCCAAAATTTCCAGTTGATTCTCTCAATGCTAAAAACTCCAGCATCACCCATTAGCACCACGCTAATCTTCATAAATAATTATTTAACACCATAAACTCTTCTAATGAATGGGTACCACTGCTTCCTGGATGTCCAACTCTCCTATCCAATGCATGGTACCTCTTTCCATCTTAGGCTCCCCATCTCAGCTATTAAATATAGAATTTAACTTTTATACATACCCCTGTACTGTACTGTATTTCAATCTTCATTATCTTAGTAGGTTCATATTCATCCTAACACAGGACAATAAGGTTCATTACTAAGTAGTTACAAACAACAGACCAACTGCCCAAATGGCTAGTTATAAGTTAATTGGTTAAATGAGAATTGTTACTCATCCTACATTACTCCATATCTCATGTCTTTTAAGCAATATGTATCTTAACCTGCATAAAAAACATAACCACCATAAACTTGTGACAAAAATATGCATTCTTGAGCTACACTGTACTGAAAATTACCTTCACTAGGATTAAAGTGAAAGCGAGTAAAAAAAAAAAAAACTTCTCATAACCATTAATCTTGTTTCTTTATTTAATTTTGCAAGCTTACCTCATATTCTAAAGAAATAATAAAAATTACCACCTCTTAATTCATGTGAGCCACCAGTCTTTAATTTCTATAGAAAATATCAATAAGAGCACCAAACTACTGTCTTTATTCACGCACTGTAATTAGTGTACAGTAGACATAAAAGGATTTAGTTTATAAAAAACAAAAAACTAACTCCATAATTGCTAAGCACCAATTGTATCAATGAAGTCAGGCAGAAAAACTGCTCCAAATTCATCCCAGCAGTTATTAACAATAGTTCACAGAGATAAGAGATTATTACCCTGTTCATATTGTACAGTATTAAAATAGGTAACATCCCAGTCTGTGTACTACCACTTCGTTTACTTCCCATTAGGTAAGGTAAGGTAAGGTTATATTAGATTAGATTAGGTCACCATTAACCCACAATAGACACTCTGATAATATGTAACATTTTCAGAGTTAGAAATAATGGGAATAGACAAAATGGGCATAAACCTTAACTAGTAACCATACAAATTGCTTGTTTGAATCAACATCATATTTTCACGTAAAAGTGTAATCTCACACAAAACTTTATGCTAACTTGAGTGGCATACATTTCTTATATACTGTACATGGTACAGTATAAAAAATCAAGAATTACTCAGGGGAATTTCTTTGGAGGGGAAAAAGGGGAGAATGGACGGTGTTGAGGACTATGGATGCTAAAGTTGGATAGGGGAATAAAGATCTGTATTAATTTATCCCTTACAAATATTTGAGTTCTTATTTAAGTAAGTAATTCAGCCTAGGTAGAGATATGCTCCACATTAGCAGATATACTTATTTAACTTCTTTATAATTTAAAAAAAAAATTAATAATCAGTTCCAGTTTTCAAAATTCTGAGATGACAATATGAATACAGTACTGTACAGTACTTCAATTATTTTGTGCTTGTGAACATGGAGGAGTAATGGGATAGTGCCAAGAATATGCATAATACTGTTTAAAACTACAAGATGAAACATTAAGGCAAGGAAATAGATATGTTTAAAGAGAGAGAGAGAGACCTTACTAAGAACAGAACTTGGATGAATTAGTGAGCTGATATGCAATTTATATACACATACTGAAGGATGATGAGTATGCAGTATCAATGTGTATATCCAACAGTAATAACATTAAATTAATGATGATACTGCACAGCAATAATCAGAAATGAAACCTAACAGTATGGCAGCTTTGCATCCACCATCAGTATCAAATATACTAGAGAAGGAGTAAAAAGTAATTAATCTGTTGAAGTTGCTGGTTTGGTATATACTGTAGTAGGTATTATGAGAACTCCCTTAACTATGAAATACACAAAACAGCTTCAGGAATAACAAAAATAACTGATTAAAGTGATCAAACTTGAAAATACATTTTGTTTTCAGTAGTTTTCTTAAAGGTACTCAAGTGTTTCACATCCTAGTGTTGTCCCCATATTTCAAACACATATCAGTCTGTAATTATGACACTATTCTTACCAATACATATGTAAAAAATGAAGAGAAGTTAATCAAGTTTATATATTCTTAACAAGTCATATGAAAAAATTAAAATTTAATCAGCTTACTTGTATACTGTATATAGTTATACCAACAGACTGATATACTGTATAGGTATTGCTATGAATTTGATTAGAAAATGCTTCAAAACTTAATCAAATTACTGTACATATATACAGTATACCTAAACCATAAGGCTGATAAATTCCTGACAATTTATATGATTTTTATTTTTTAACTTAACCCTTTAGTCATACAGATCTAACCTAACTGCGAAGAGAAAATATCACACAAATATCTCCCATGATTCTTTATCTTATATTCTCAGACCAATATAGAGATTAATATGCTCCATCATACAAAGGAAAAACGTGATCACTTTTAGTTTTCCATTACAATGAAGTGGTCATTAACTTAACCATTATGCAGAGTAAAATATAACAATCATCCTACCCATGCCTGAACTAAGCATTAATATTGAACACTCTAAGTTTGCTTGACCTGACTTGACCTCACCATGCAATCAAGTAGTGTATGTTATAAATTAAATGAATAGTTTAGAGACTCGGCTCAAATAATTAGCGTAAGTTCCCAGAGCTTACTTGTAACAGCACAGGAACATTGTCTTCTTCAATTTTTCCCCTTTAGCTGCACCCACTGTATTAGTGGAATATTTAACTGAAAGAAAAAGAGAAAGACAGAGATACAGGAATTCTATGGGTACAGTACTGATAGACTACAGAAAGTAGAAAATTGATCAAAAGTTCAGAAAGAAATTTACTTTACAGATTTACATTTAATCTTCTAGTTAAGATCACAATAATCCCTTTCCTGATGGATGAGCTTCCCAATCTCCTATAATACTATTTACTTCCCTGTTTTCTATTGTCCTTTTTTCTGTATGCTCACTTTTGCTTAAACTTTCAATTATATTTCTAAATTCCTTTCCCGCCACATTCTCCCCAAATTTTGCCGTTACCGGTAACTTGGTTTTTATAGTCTTCTTCTCTAGTTTTTGCAAGTTATCCATCTTCTTCTTGGCTAATAACTCATTCTTATTTGTAATATTGGTCAGCAACTCAACTATATAGCTTATACTTCCTTTGCTCCTGAGTATTCCCATGTGGTCTACCCCTTTGTAGGTCTTGTAGTAAATTTTTTTTGTCTGTTTATTTGTCCACTGCAATGAAAAAAATACATAAAGGGATTAACTCTAAGTAATATTCACAATGAATTATATATACATTATACTACTGCATATGGCCTCAGTTACACATACAACCTATTACAATTAATATGTAAGTCACAAGTATCATTCATAAGTTGTTGCGAAATAACAAATATTCTAATCCATTTTAGCTACTAAAAGTGACCTTGTACAGTCACCCACAAATGTCCTGTCACCTCTCCTCCAGAACCATGAAAGAATAATGTCAGTGTCTACTGCCTCTGGTTCACGAATTTGAATCTTGGCATTTGTGGAACAGCAGGAGAGGCTGCAAGACTTTTCTGGATGACCTTGTAAAGTTGAAGAAACGTGTTCCTACATCCATGGATCCTCAATTACAAGCCCAATTTTTTGTAGTACTATACACAAAAATTCCCCGAGCTTGCAAGGATTCCACAGATGAAATCCGTCGGTCAAGAGCACAAACGTTTGAAATTCCCACCTACCTTCCATTCTCTTAAAGTTAATCCTTCTCGCCCCTGTCATCATAAGTTTGCGTTGGCCAAACAGATAGTAGATATAATTTATGGAGAGAGAGCGAGAGAAAAAAAGCCTCCCTCCATTAAGGAAGACTAATTAATGATTAAATCACAATCAAAGGTTTGGCAGGTATCAATGTATGAGGAGCATAGATAAAAAAAAACAAATTTTTTGCCTTTCTGCGGCCTTGGGTCCTGAAATTATAAACAAAGTTGTAGTTTATCCACAGGACTGAATAATGCAAAAAGAAAAACTTACCTTTAAAGGAAGTTCAGCACTGCGGGTGTTGACAGTACCATCACCTCCTCCATTTACGAGAACCGGGCTGTCAGGAAACTTGCCATTTGCATAAACGAGTCTGGACAGAAAAAAATATCTCATTTACAAAGCCCCAGTTACAGCACTTTGATGATCTCAATAAAAATTTCAATACATAATAAAACCAAACTAAAAATATTAAGCTTACTTTTCTACAGTGTCGATCCCTTCACCATGCAAACAATGGAGCTCCACCCCTGGAGCAGGAGCATCCTTCAGCAGGTCTTTTGTATCCAGGTACATGTTATAGGCATCAGGTAAATTCAATGCCCTGCAAAACCCCATTGTAAGTAACAATTTTAGTTATTCCTACCTACATCAAGTAAGGAGACCACAAAAGATGCCTTGAAAATATGAAGATCCAACAATGCTCAAAATATTAAATTAGTACATACTGTATTACCTATACTGATTTGGCCTTTATGTAATTGTAAAAACAACATGGAAAACTTACAGGTGGCGAGTAGTAATTGCTGCTGTAAAATGAATGAACTTTGTCCAAGAATCATTAGGGAAAATAATTATCCAAATACAGTACCTACTTTTTTACCCCATACCCTTAAGTCTACAGAAAATAAATGTAAAATTTAGAAAAATGGGAAAACTAAATGATATCTCCATTAGCCAGAACAATTGGTGCAGAGCAATTCCGGGAATGAGAGATCTCCAAGTAACGAGATGATTTTCTCAAAGCCGAAAAAAAATACCCCATCCCTAAAATTTTCCGAGTCACGAAAAAATGTTCTCAGAAGTTCCAGAAATTGCTCATTGCATCATCTCTCGAACCCGTAAAAAACAACCCCCCCTCCCCGGAATTTTCCAGAATTTTCCTGGTATCGGGAAAATTTTCTTGGAATTTTCCGGAAAATGTGCCCCCTAAAAAAAAAAAAAATTTCCAAAGCCAGAATTTTTCTGAAAATTCCGGCTTTGGAAACGATTTTCCGAGAAAATTTCAATTCCGGCTATCGGAGAATTCCGAGTTTGAGGGATCCCGGCTAACGGAGATATTACTGTACAGGGAAAACATGTAAAAACTAAAACAGAAAATAGGAATAATATCGGAAAATAAGAAATTTAAGTGAGATTACATATAACTTCCAAGGATGAAAGGTGGAACAGAAATAAAGTAAAAGAAAGAAAGAAGAAGATGAAGAAAGAAAAAAAAAGAAGGAAAACATGAAGAAAAAAAGGAATGTAATGCACTGACTCAAATAAATCCTTGAAGTTGCTTGCGGTGTAGTTCTTGGTCAGGGTCTGAACTAAGACTTCATCAGGGCCCCAAAGCTCAGCTGAAGGCAAAAGGAAGGCCAAACTAGGGGCGGAACGCTGCTCTGCTCGGACTTTGGTTGCACTGATAACATAGATCCCCAAGTTGTCTCCTGAAAAACAGTGACACAATGAATACGATTTAAATCCAATAAAAGCAAAGAGTACTGTATATTATATAAGTGAGTGTGGATATAATGAAAATTCAATAAAGAAAAAGAGTAATGATTTATGAAAGGTATTTACAGAACATCCTGTATAAGTTTTTATAAGTAATTAAGAAAAGACAAACACTGCCTAAGTCAAAAAATATAATTTTTTTTTTCTACAAATTAAATACTGTATTGGGTAAAGTCAGGAACAACTTGCAATGAATATAGTGTACAGCACTATAGGGCCAAAGAAAAGATTTGAGTAGTTCTTTCATGGAGGGTTCTTTCACTTTGCTTACATTAATCATCACCGTAAACGGCCATTTTCCACACTTGCATGGGTTAGCTACGGTAACTTAGGCCAATTATGATTCAAACATTTCAAGACCAACCTGCAGTATAAACTTTCACAGCTTTCATAGAGCCTCCCCAAGCACCAGCTAAGGCAACCACTGATTCAATATGCTTGTCCTTCCAGTGCTGAGGCTGGTGGTTCAAGAAATATTGAGTCATTGGTGCTCCCATGCTGTGTAGCACAAGAACAACTTTTTGCCCACAATAACGGTAAGTCTCCTCGATCAGCTGACGTAGTTTTTGAAAATATTCTTGGTGTTCGTCTGCAAAGAAAAGTTTAAATTGCAATACAATCTACAGACAAGCAACATAGAGTATTCAAACATAGTGTACGGTACTGCATGCAGAAACAGCAGTTAAATTAATTCCCAATATACATTCACCACTGGATGTGAACCATTGACTGCAAGGACAAGAGGTGAGTCTTGTACTGTTTGGTCCCTGAACAGAGCAAGATCAGACCAGGAAGATAAAGCATGTGACTAAACAATTAAGAGAGATCTATAAACACTTCAAAACTCACATGACTCTTAAACAAAACCAATATTTTTTTTAATAATCTAGAGCTAATCCATTTATATAACTCGATACAGTATTTCTAATTCCATATCACAAGTTTTCAAGGGAGACAACACCATAGATCCTAGAGCCATTTTAATATGATTCCTAGAAGTTATACCTGGATCCATGGAAATTATCTCAATCTAAAATAACGTATTGAAAAACAAAGGTTAAACAAATACGTACTAAAGTTCCTGCCTTGACAGAAACCAACCCAGGTAACCCATTAATACCTGGTTAACCAAATTTTCTGAATTGAAACTGTTTTGTGATCAATTAGGACTACAACTCCTTTACTGTAGGAAAATAAAGGACAGAAATAATTTGAACTTCCTTTCCCAAAATAGCTTTACAAAAGAACTTTATACATTACCACAGCTTCTTACTACTTTCACACTCCTCTGTCCTCTTACTGTATTTAACATTACTGTATACAATACTGTATTATATAACAGAAAACAGCAGCTTACTTGGTGCTCTACGAAAATCAAAAGGAGCCCCTCGGACGGTGACACCTCGCTCGTATCCGAGTGGTATGATAGCATTGACAACATCTTTGAAGTAACCAGTTAGAGAACGTTGGCTAGGGTCTAACCACTCAACTGTTGATGAGTTTCCAAAACCAGGAATTCTGGTTTGCACTCCTGGAGCGTTCTTGGTTGTACGAGTCACGTTGTCATACACGAGCTTCATGTTATCAACCTGGTGATAATGGATCAAACTATAAATTATCCTAATTTACGGTAGCCTTCTACAATTAAAAGTCTGATAATTCAATTACCCTGTACACAGTGTTCATCACCTTGTACTCTATTTTAGTTTTATTTCACATCACTATTAACTTGCTGTTGTAAATGAAAATAGGGCTAGTTGAGAAGTGGTTCAGTATGTGTTCAGACCACTCCTCAACAACACCCAGGCCTCAACTCCATCCCATTATTTTTGTTGTTTGGTGCCGCCTAAATCTAGTTGCAGGTAAAAAAGTGTACTGTACAGTATAAACTTTTATCCACACCATCCATTCTAATTTGTGTTAAGACAAATTTGTTACTGTATGGTAATGATTTGAATAAATTCTCTACAAGTTTGTTTCAAATTTTTCCAGACATTCATATGCCAAAAACTCAAAGTGGCTGAAAACATTCATATGCCACCTTAGTAGAGTGGTCTTTGCAGGTTTGGTGTGTGTGTGTGTGTGTGTGTGTGTGTGTGTGTGTGTGTGTGTGTGTGTGTGTGTGTGTGTGTGTGTAATTTTCAGTAATAATTTCAACAAATGTAAAAACTAACTAATAAAAACTGGTAACATACCCAACAGTCAATAATGTATGGAACAAGCAGCTCCATATTGAGCCAAAGGTCAAACCAGTCATTTTTCTTTGTACAAATGTAATGGATAACACTTGGCTTGTCAATCTTGGCCTCAATTTGTGATCCTCCATCTCCTGGGACTGGAAATATAACAATCCATTATAACTCTGGTACAAAATTAAAATAAGGTTACAGTATATTGTATTTGATAACACTGTACAGTAAAAGGAAGAATACAGTCTCAATGTGAATTGTAAGCCAGGAACTATTACCCTCACACTCTAGTTACCACATGTATAGTGTTTGTCCCTTTAACTACACAATGTATAGTACAATTATGGACAAAAAGTATTTGGCAAAGCAGGGAAGGAGGTAGTGTATGGGAGAGCAGGACTGGGTGGAAACTTGGTACAGTCGCATAAAGGTAGTGGTTCAAATTCAGCCTATTCTAACCTTTACTGAATTCCCAGATCATATTCCTTTGTATGTTGTGGTGTATCTAGAAATTTTCAAAATTATTTTTTCTAATTGTGCTTCCTATAAAATTTAAGTACAGTACAGTACACCAAAGTACTACACAACCCTCAGGATATTTTGGTAATGTCCAGATTGACTCTGCATCATTAATCATATTTTCGTGTTTTATCAAGACCTTCCCTTATATATTTGTTTAAATCCAGAAAATATTCTTTTAGCAGAGCAAAGAAAAAATAACCTGGAATTTACCTAAACAACGAAGCAACACATGAGTGACGTCAAACTATGATTGAGCTGTCTGACTTCAGTACAGTACAGTACAGTTCAGGGTTTCAAAACAGCCAAAGACAAACTAACAAGCACAATGGAAATATCCTACACAGGCCATTGGCCTCCTTCCCTTGGCATGGCCACCTCTAGTGGCTGGCCATTATAAGAGGTCCAAAAAAAAACGAGACTGATGCAGTAACTCTTTTTATTTACCAAATTAAGAAAATCAACAGTGATCGCCTTCAAAGTAGTTCCTTTCTGAGTTGACACACAGCTGCATATGATGCCGCCTCAGTTCAAAGCAATTCTGCAGATCATGTTCTGTGAGGCTGTTGAGGAATTCCGTTGTTTTTGCTTTCACCTCTTCTACCTACAAAAAAATTGGTTCCTTTGAGCACGGACTTGATCTTTTGGAAGAGGTAGAAGTTGCAGGGAGCCAGGTCTGGCGAATAGGGTGGGTGCTCAAGCACAGTGATGTTTTTATTGGCTAAAAACTGCTTCAAAGACAAAGCATTGTGGGCTGGTACGTTGTCCTGATGCAAAATCCACCTGTTTCTCCAAAAATCTGGTCGTTTCCTTCTCACTCGTTCGCTCAATTTCGTCAAGACTTCAATATAATACTGCTGATTTACCGTCTAGCCGCTGGGAACCCACTCTGCCATCAAAATACCCTAGATATCAAAGAAAACAATCAACATGGGCTTGAACTTCGAGCGACTCATGCGTGCTTTTTTGGGTTTTGGAGATGTTGGTGACCTCCACTGCATTGATTGTCGCTTGGTTTCGGGATCATACGTAAATATCCAAGTTTCATCACAAGTACAGCTCCTCCCCGACTTACGACGGGGTTGGGGACCAACATCCAGGTCGTAAGTCGAAATGGTCATAAGTCGGAAATGCTTAAATAATACATAGAAAATCTAAAATGGGGGGCGTCTTTTTCTTCTCAGCACCACAAAACACCCACTTTTAAGCTTTGCCAGCCATTTTAAAGTGAATTACAGATGAAAATTTTGTCTGTGTACTGACTTTGGGACTCAAAAATACATAGTTTGACCACATTTTAGTACGACTGAGGCAGGTCGTAAGTGCGGGTGGACGTAAGTCGAGTTGGTCGTAAGTCGGGGAGGAGCTGTAATTACCGAATTTAACAAATCTAGTTCGTCCTCAATGCGTTGTAAAAGGTCAAAACAAATTTCCTTGCGATGTTTTTTTTTGGGTCATCTGACAGCATTTTTGGAACCATTTTTGCACAAAACTTTGTCATGTTTAATTCTTCCGTTAGAATGCATCGAACACATTCCCTGTCTAAATTAACTTTCTCAGCTATTGCTCGGACACCCAACCTACGTTTTTTTCTAACCACATCTCGCACTTTTTCAATGTTGTCATTGGTAACTGCTGTGCGTGGACAGCCAGGGCAGCCATAATATTTCACAGTTTCTCTGCCTTCCGAAAATCGTTTGTGCCATTCAAAAACGCATGCATGAGACATGCAAACTTCCCCATAAGCCTCAGTCAATAATTGAAAAGTTTCTGTCGCGGATTTCTTGAATTTAACGAGAAACTTGATAACTCATTGCTCAGTTTTGCAGTCCGACATTTTCCGACCGAGCATAAGAACACGTCTATACTTCAACACGCTTCCACTTGTACTGAGTTAAGCGATAAAGTTGAGCCTTGTCACAGTGTGTCAGGTTAGAACATGTTCAATAACCGTCTGATTGTCCCTCCCTACCCACTCTTGGTTCCCGAGTTATAGGCGGTCAGTCTCGTTATTTTTGTGTCGGACCTCGTATACTGTAATTAAGTTAACAATTAAGCAGGGTGATGCTCAAGGATCTGCTCCTACTAATATCACATTTCAGCGATATTTGACATTTTACTTAGAAAACATTTGTTAATCGACTGTTCCTATAGTTAGCGGATCCTGTGTTACAACTGTGATGTAATTACCGGTATTTTGATTATACAGCACTTAGGAAACAGCAGTAGTACTCTAGCGGATGAAAATTATCAGAGAACTATGAGTTCAAGGAGTGACCCCTGAGCAATACAGTATCACACAGATACTAAAGTCTGGCAATACACTGATGATCATTCCTGCTAAAATAAGAGGTACAGTCTCATTCAAGATTCTTCCAACACTGCTGGAGACAGCTGGCAACTCAAGGCCGTAGTAAAAATTATGAATGAATGCAAAGTGATCGGTGATTGGTTACTTAGTTCCCCGTTGCTTAATTACCGTTTTTTTTTCATTCATTCATAATTTTTACTGTGTACTATAATAAACAAACGGCCTTGAGTTGCCAGCTGTCTCCAGGAGTGTTCAAAGAATCTTGAACGAGATTGTACCTCATTGATTTTTATTTTTTTCTTCAATTTACAAAAGATGTGGAGGGCACAGTCTAATCATCATTTCTTAAATTTCTTCACACCTCTTTCACTTGATCTATTAACTGTATATCTGTACAAGTCACATATCCCAACATTGAAGCACTTGTTGGAGCCTCTCTTGTATAGTATTACCAAAACAAACCTATTGGTGAAAATGACCATTAGAAAATGTGTAGACATTCTGGACATTTACTGAACACTGTTTTGAATATACAGTACAGTATATAAGGTGTTTAGCTGAACAGAGGAATTATACTATAGGTAAACTGGTCTCTATTGATACAGTGTAAATAAATAAACATTTGTAACCTAGGCAATTGTTCTGATCCCAATTTTCACAAACACGGATTTTTCAATGATAATCATTTTAAACTTACACTTTAAGATAATATATTAAAAAATTGGGGTGGGGGGGGAGGCAGGTGAACATAATACATAGTTTACTTTAGATACATACAGCACCTGAGTCATAGTTTTGCCTTGGTTACGTAGTAAACAAAGGCAGCGTTTTCCCTAATTAAACATTTCTTTGTATCTACGTTATACAGATATACCTATGAGGATGATCTCGGCTATTTATGTCATGCTGTGCAGACAAAGAACTTATATAACACGAATTTACGCAGTAAATACAACTGAATTTACGCAACAGTTGTGTACTACTGTCTTGGTTTAAAACGTAATACAGTAACTTATTTGGCTGTGATTTAATCTGTCCCTAAATACAGCGCAGACATATTTACTTACTTAATACAATAGGCGGAATATGTTTTGATCTGCTGACTTTCGTAAGCGAATGAGACGCCAGAAATAAGAAAAATAATGAAACTAAGAGTCCTTTTGCTCTCATCCCGTCGGAATCAGCTGGTCGTCCGCTCCCTCGTGTAGGTCAGCTGGCACTAGCAGCTGTGGAACTTGTGGCTGGCTGGCACTGTAGGGCCTTACCAGTGGGGACGGGGTGACTGAGGTTATGGCCTGTTGTTAACTTGTGGCTGGCTGGGGCTTGGGTGCTGGGGCTGGCCTTGCATACTGCCACTCTCGCAATATGTTTCCAATCTATTACTCCAGTCTTCTGTGGATTGACATCATCTGAAAATATTTAATATGTTCTATAAGTTTTTTTTCCAAAGGTACACGAGAAGTTTATGAAAATTAAAAAGATTTCATGATATACGTGACTTATTCGTATTTATTATACAACCCCATGTTGTACTGCTCCCCCATTATACTTATGTTTTTCAATTCCACTGTAAAAAAAATATATATATATATATATATATATATATATATATATATATATATATATATATATATATATATATATATATATATAACCGTGGTAACATTATGAGATGTTCTTATTACCACTATGCTATTGTGCTATTCCAGATGATACTAAATGTTACATAATACTTCCTTGAGATAAAATGTATAGTATACAGTATATTATCAGGTGCCTCGAAGAGAGCTCAGGTTCTCAACTGGCTCAGCCATGTTAATATTGTTATTATTATTCACTCTGTATTTGTATTTTTCTGGCTAAATAAACTGTTTCGATTCAATTCAATATTGTTTACGTAATCTGGAGACGGTAAGGTTCCTCATCTGAGTTTTTGGTTGTTATAAGATGAACAAGAATCTCAGAAAATATGTATACTGTACTGTACATGAAAATTATTTCTTCGGGAAGAAACATTGTGTACTGTACTATATACTCATGGCTGCAATTCTGTATCTTCTCCAGTAATTTACCGTAAGTGATTATCATTAATTAATAAAAGTTTTTGTGTTCCACATGATAAAGTCGACAAGCAGGATTTTCAGAGAATCTCACATACAGTAAAAACGTAGTAATAATGTCTGAGACAAACAATTCGAATACGTAAACATGTATTAAACAAAAAAAATGTTAACGTCGCCATATCCTTTGAATCTATAAATATGAACAAGAAAGGCTCACACTTCCGGTGAACGAACACTGGGCGTTACTGTCACGCCGCAGAATCGTAAGGTCAAACACTGTATAGTGATGACCCAAAATTGCTGTCTTTCTTTTTTATTTCTATTTAGATCTCTATGTAGTAAAGTACATCTACAAAAAAAAATATTTGCTGAAATTACTGTCTGCCAATGAATTTACCGTAATTGACCAAAAGAAAGTTATTGTCAAGGCCGACATACAGATGGAAAATGTATTTTTTTTTATTTACAGTACTTTATAATGTCCAAGGGGCCAGAGATTCCTCAGAAGACATGCTAAAAAGTTATATTCCTATGCCCTCTAACTTGTTGACACCTGTCTACGAAACAATCTTGTCCGACATTCAGAAAAAGATGCAGGTTTATGAAAACAGATGTCATAAGCAGCAATCAGGTAACCAACACATATTTACAGGAATTAGACAGACGTACATAGCAAAAGTGAAAAGGGAGACGGTCCTAATAGTCAGAAAGAAAAGCGAATGACAATTAAGCAGGATTGACCATACCTCCCCCTCCCAGACCTGTAGATAACGTGACCACACAACCTCTGACATAGTTCGATAACACCAGTACTGTACGTCATCCACCCCTCCCTCTCGAGTACACTCATCTATATCTCCCTCCCTGTACACTCCCTAGAAGTGATACAGTCGTTAATACCCTCCAAAAACCAAATTTAATTTCAGGTGAGCCGCACACTGCCATTATGACGCATATACTTTTGAAGGCAATTGCCATTCCGAAGAGTATCTAACTGATTCGGTTTTAATAGATTGTGTATAAGGACTGCGCTTTAAATATATGGATAACACGGAGATTGGCCGCACTACATTGTAAACTTTGTAGGGACCCGACTTTCATACCCCATTACCTACATCTTCTCGGTACGTCCCGAAACTTCCTCCTACAGGTCCCCCCAGCCGTCATCATCACGTAGTTTCTTCATGACCAATTATCTTTTCTCCTATAGATAGGCCGAACACTTGACAATATTTGGATTCCAACCACACTTTATCATAGCTATATATATATATATATATATATATATATATATATATATATATATATATATATATATATATATATATATAACTTTTTATTAATGTACTACGATTCGAAAATACATTTGTTTATATAATTATTTTAGGCATAACATATTTGTTATAAATTAGATAACGTTTGTTCAACGTGAATTTTTTTCCAAATACTGCATAAATACATATTGGCCCTACACTATCAGATTCTCCTGTACATGATATGATGTGTGTGTGTGTGTGTGTTAATTGGTCAAAAGCGAAGAAAAATAGCCCGAATGCCTCACCACGGTTCACCCTATGACCTATGTCGCCTCACACCACATCAAGTAACACACTTATCTACTCGATTCACTCTATATTTACCGAAATGTTGATTTTCCTTTCATGGGGTTACCATTAAAAGATCAAATGGCACAAAATATTGATCAGTGAGTCGAGCGATTCTCTGTACACAACTTAAATTTTGGGCAGTAGAGAATAATGCACCCGCACATTAACATCATTGAAGTCTGTCATTAAGGGCTGATTGTTATTTATAATTATCTTATCAATTCCTCGCTTGTAATCACCTTATGATAGCCCATAACTACAACATGGGAGTGCCTTCATATGATACAGTAGATAATTATCACAAATGTTTGACGTAAACAAAAGTGCTCAGGTGGTTGCTCTCAAAGACGGACAATGGTGATGTTGTCCGGAGCCTTTCGGTGACATACATAATATGCTGTACATGTTGTTAGTATAAAATATAAAGGTACAGTCTCGTTCAAGATTCTCCGAACACTGGTGGAGACAGCTGGTAACTCAAGGCCGTTTGTTTACTATAGTACGTAGTATAATATAATACGAAACAAAGCCCAACCATTAATTATGCCCACAGGCCCCACACTGATTAGTCTTCAATTAGAATATGACGTCCAATGTATATGGACCACTGTCTTGCATTACAAATGAACAGTGACATCAGGAGTGAAGTACTTCCCCATCTGGAGTACTGTCACCCCATCTGGTCCCCGAGATATGCGAGGGACTGTCAGTTGGTTGAAAATGTTCAAAGGACACCAGACTGGTGCCTGCACTTCGGCACCTCAGCTACCCTGAGAGATTGGAGCGCCTGAACTTGCCTAGCTTATGCTACAGACGGGCAAGGGGGGACCTAGTTGAGGTGTATAAGCATCTCAGGGGGAACTACTCAGTTGAGTGTCCTTACTTGGAGCTGGCAGACGCTCGCCCCACAAGGGGTCACAGCTCAAGATTGAAGAAGCCGCAAGTCCAGAAAACTGTGAGGGCAAACTTTTTCGGAGTGAGGGTTGTAAACTCTTGGAATAATCTACCAGAGAGTGTTGTGACGGCACCGAGTGTGAGGCTCACACTGTGAGCTCTTTCAAGACAAGACTTGACCAACACTGGAGCGGGTTCAGGTACATTCAGGAGCCGGTGCATGCCCAGTATTTGCCAACAGTGCGTGACAGAGACGTGACCGATCGCCCGGGCGGCTAGCGAGCCGATCTTTTGGTGAAGAAGATAAATGAAAAGGAAAAGTAATCAGAGGCGTGACCGATCGCCCAAGCGGCTAACAAGCCGATCAGTGGCGAAGAGGATAAAAGAGATCACCCACATGACTCTGACCTATATATACTGCTCTTGAATATGATGTATTTCTTTGTGTACGACCCTCTGTCCTGCATGGCAGTGATCAGTGACATCACCCACATGACTCTGACCTATATATACTGCTAATGAATATGATGTATTTCTTTGTGTATGAACCTCTGTCCTGCGTGGCAGTGAGAAGTGATACCACCCTCAGTGTCAAGACCTGAGTGAATTATTCAGAATAGGCAAACTGTACTCTAAGCTTTGTCAATAAATTTGTTAAGACTAAAAAAAAATCTTCGCCCCTGATCGGCTCGTTAGCCGCTTGCGTGACCGTCTCAGTTACACCACTAGTCTAGGGGTTCCGTCTTTTATAACACTGACTCACGAATTGACATCTAAGTAATTGCTGCTTGCTGCCATGTAATATAACTATAACAAATTTCAAGATGTTACAAAAGAAAGTTTTTTGAATTTTCCCTAAAATTTACGCCTTATACGGTATATTACGGTACTGCAATATATACTGTTTACAGTGCTACTGAAGTTGATTGAAAATGCTCAGAGGGCCAACAGACAGGTGTCTGCACTACGGCACCTCAGTTATCCAGAGAGAGATTAGAGCGCCTGCAACTGCCTAGCTTATACTACAGACGGGCAAGGGGTGATCTAATTGAGGTGTATAAACATCTCAAAGGGAACCAGCGTATTCAGTCAAGTGCCAATACCTGGAGCTGGCGGACGCCCGCCCCACTAGGGGTGAGAGTAACAGCTCAAGGTTGAAGAAGCAGCAGAACAGAACTGTGAGGGCGAACTTTTTCGGAGTGAGAGTTGTGAACTCTTGGAACAATCTGCCAGAGAATGTTGTGACGGCACCGAGTGCGAGCTGTTTCAAGACCAGATTTGACCAACACTGGAGCAAGTTCAGACACATTTCGGAGCCAGTGCATACCGAGTGGCTAGTACTTCCCATCCCAACAGTGCCCGAGTACCCAAACTGCTAACTAGCCGATCATTGGTGACGAGGATAAAAGTAGAAGTACAGGGTATTGTCAATAATATAGAGGAAACAAAAATATAAAGTTGTATAACTTAACAGGTGAGGTGGCAAAGATTCTTTTAAGTTAAAAAAGGTGATTTAAGTATTTTTAAAGGTGCAGTTTAGGCCTACACCCATAATACTATACAGTACTGTACTGTAATGATTTGTTTTCTTCAGGATTTTAACTTAAATATTTGAGGAACAAAGAACAAATTACAGTATATAGTTAAAGTATAGACTATACTGTAACTATATACTGTACTATATACTGTATAGTACAGTCGAGTAATTGTTAAATGACAAGTTGGCTGTAATTCCATGTTTTCTTTGCTCTAGCAATTTTACAAAACCATCACATAACTGTTTTTTATTTTAATAGGAATGAACTGCTAGGTGGTGTGGACTGTACTCAGTATTTCGTTCTTGTTAAAATCGAACATACAGTAAAGTACAGTACAGTAGTCTTGTGATGGGTTTTGTTGGTATGCTGAAGCACTACACAAAGTTATTTTCTATTTGCACCAGATTTCCTTCTGTGAATGAAAAAAGTGTAATTTTTGGTAAATTTGTATTTTCAACCAATATGGCTCTAATTTTAAGGTAAACAAAGTAAGGGCACCCCATATCTCGCTTGTTATTTAATTGTGACAAGATTAAGTAGGGTATTATTTTACTTTTGGACATAGCACACCCGAAAGTTGTAAGCTACTGAAACATTTAGATCTCCCTATTCTGAGCATTTTGAACACCATATTATACCAGGCGGAAATGGACAATAGCGACACAATTTAATTTAATTGACTTTACATACTTTTCAGTCTCCGTCTGTTAGGACATGTTATCGGCATGAAACCAAGTTAGTTATGGATCACGCATGCACAACTCTGACTGACGTCATCCAATTGTGACCAATGATGTATCGGTATCATCACACGATTTTTTTTCGACCAATCACATTTTAATTTTTTGAAAGGAAGCAGCCTAGGTACGAATTTGAATTTCATTGACCAGTCTGACTAAGGTATTGTACTTTCAGACATGGCATGCCCCAAAGTTTTAAACTACTGAAACATTTAGGTTAGTTTAAGCTTGGCCTACCAGGGGTTCGGGGACAGAGGTTAGGTTAGGTTAGATTAGGTTAGGTTAGGTTAGGTTTGCTTAGGTTAGACAACTCGTTTTTCGTGTTCTTCCCCACCCAAAACCCAGATTTCCCAGGCTCTCCCCCATAATCGTTGGGTGGGGTGGGGACAAAACGAGCAATTTCCGCCAAAAAGGAAGGTCAGATTTGTTTAAAATACACTGGAAAAACCTATTGGTCAACCCCTAGGGACTCATGTCCGAAAGTAAAAATTTACCAAAAGTAGGGTTCAGAAGATAACTTTCGACGAGATCTGTTAATTTTTTCTAAGTAAAAAAAATCTTCAGCTGCATATTGGTTGAAAATGTAACAATACCAAATTTTCTAAGAAAACAAAATAGCTTATATCACCTGATGAGTAAATGCCTTAATGCTAAGTGAGGGGGATTAAGTTTGGTATAAAACTCTGGAACAAGGGTATGGGTTAATAAGCAAATTTAGAAAATTTTTGTGTAGAAGACGACTCCTTTTTTTAATTTCAAATATACTATCCCCAAATTATAAAGGATTTGCAGAATTTTACAGTATTATTGTGACTTTTTTCTTTTGTAACACGAATCTGTGTTGACTGGCCACGCAATCTTCATTGTTGACAACTCTCACCCTTTTCCTTTTTCCTTGTATCCTTTTAAAGGGATAAAAAGGAAAAGGGTGAACGAGTTATGTCAGCAATGAAGATTGCATGGCCAATCAACACATATTCGCATAAATAAACGTAAACAAGTTAAAAGCAATGCTATATGCTTCCTAGATACTGAGAAGATATCCGGCAATCATCCTAGCCTTACCTAAAAGGCAGAACAGTGGCAAAGAGGATTAATTAAGCTAATCTAAACTACTACTGTACAGTATACCTAACTAACTCAGGATACAGCAGGTTGGTTGTCCTATTGTTGATAACTCGTGTAAGTAATGTACTGTACAGTAATGTAGCAGTAACTAATATTTGTTGTTTGCCTGTATGAAATACTGTACTATACTACTCAAACATCAATGGCAAAAAGATAAAGTAAATGTAAGAAAATTGCAAATCCCAGTAATTTTGGGGATATTTTTAATGTAAGAAAGAATTTATCATCTACACAAAAAAGTTTTAAAGTTGATGGTTGTTTGATTATAATACAGTACAATATAGAATGGAAGAATTCTTGTCTATGAAACATTTCATGCTCCTGTAAACAGTCAATATGACATCGCTGGGAGGTTGGAAGCACAGCGGTAATGTACGTATCTCTCATCGCTATGTCTTGAGCTCAAGTCCTAATGCAGGACAGACGTGGGAAGGGTGCTATCCAGTGTGACACTACGAAACATTGCAGGTTTCTTCCTGCACTACCAATGAGAATAAAATTCATGACAAAGTAACAAAGAGCAGCCCAAGCACCCAAAACACTAGTACATAAGCTCATAAGTGGTGAATTAATATTGTGAAAATTGCAAATCCTCCACAGGTTTTTGGATATTCTTGGGGTAAGAAATAAGTTATCTTCTAAAGAAAAAATTTCTAAAGTTACTGATTACCTTGTCACCCTGTTTCTGAGTATTACCAGCCTCCCCCTGTTTTCCAACTTCCCTCCAGAGTTTTCCCAGTGAATTGAACATCGCTATATTAAAAATTAACCATCATTAAACAAGAATGGGCATTAAAACATTTTTATCGCTAAACTCAAATATCGCCAAGTGAATGTTCGTTAATCGAGGGATACCTGTACACCTGTAATAACTTTTTACATCTTGGCTGATTGTGTCCTGGTACAGTAAGGTACAGTACTGCATAACATAAACTTTATACCAAAACAGCAACGAGTAATGGAACAACCTTGTACAATGGCAGCAGAATATGAATTAAACACACGAGCCTACAGCCTAAGTTACCCTAGCAGCTTGCCCACCCACGTGCCCGGCATGTAGGGATGCATTGGAACATGATGCAATCTCTCGAAACTCCCAGAAAATTTTTTCCCATGACCAGAACGAAGAGATTTTCTCAGAATATTTCCAGAAAGTGCATATGATTTTATCCTCGGAAACTCGTTCCCATGCCCGGAAGAGAGAGAGTTTTCATGGAATTTCCCGGAAGACTCAGAATTCATTCCCGCTATAGGAGAGTTCCTTGGACCAGAGATTCTGGCTAATGGGGAGAATACTGTACAGCATAGGTAACCTGAGTGTACAGCCACACCAGAGATTATATAAGGGACAGTCACATTATAAATGACTTTTCCCCTTTTGGTGCCGAACAAATTGACAAACCGGCGAAAAATTAAAAAGAAAGTTCTCACATTTGGCTTCGCATTAGTAGCCCTGCTTTCCTTATTCTGTACAGTAATATATATAATAATAGTTGCCCCTCATGTACAAGGATGTCTGGCCCAAGGGCCACATTGGCCTGAAGGTGTAGAAGCTGTCACCAACACAACAACAACACCCTAAGTTAATGAGTTGCATGACACAGTCACAGTGTTAAGGAATAGTTGGAGGAGACCAGACAACTTGCCAAAAGCACTGGTTAACCATTACCCCGGAACTCAATTCATAAATCAATTATCCAGGTTTCCAATTACTGCTGGGTAGACATAGGCAAATGGCCCAAGAATCAAACCCCAGACCACTCACTTTTTTTTTTTTTTCTTTTTTTTTTTATTGGGCACTCCCTTACATCATTGTGTAAGGTGAAGCGCAGAAGCATTTACAGCGCCCAACAGGGAAGCATGCTATGTTCATGCTTGCCTTTATGTCTCATGAGTTAAGGGCGTAGAAGCCTGAAGAGTCAAGGGCGTAGAAGCCTGAAGAATCAGTGGTTTATGTCCTCAAGTTATTGGAAGCTCCAACAACTTGTCCCTGAATACGAATTCGCAACTTTCGACTTACACCAGGAACCTACTTTACTGCTAGGTGAACAGGGACTAATGGGGACTAGGAAGTAAGTCCAAACAACTTCCACCGGCCCGGGAATCGAACCCGGGACATCTCGCTTGCGAGGCAAGAACGGTACCGCTTCTACCACCGATCCCCCCCACTCACTTGTGAGGTGAGCATGCTGACCAGTACAACCATAGATAAATTATTACACCACTGACCATAACTGTGTTTTTGCTGTTAACCTTTTACCCCTTCACTACAGTCACTCCACTTTTAATATTTTATTTGACAAACACCAGATGATTTTATTCAACACAGAGGAGACCCCACACACAAGGGATTAAAATGAAGCCCAAGAAAAATTGGCTTCTCTGCTAATTTTCAATAAAATTGTTTTGTTTTTTGGTTTTCAAATTTGAGAAAAATGTGAATATTTTACACAATGGTAGACAAGCATGCAGAATAACCAAATATGGAAAAAAATATCTTTACTTGTGTGGTGGGTTTTTCGCCATGTGTTACTCAAATGTAGTAAAACACAACAATGACCAGGTACAGTACTGTACCTCGCTTTTGCCAAATGTTGTTAACGGTCAGAAGTGGTTGTTGGTAGGTGGGAGATATTGTACATTTGGTACTGTACTTGTAAAAATTTCTTCCCAACTTTCCTTACTTACTTAGAAGCAACTACAGAGGGAAACAGAGTGTTTACCAGTGGTGGCTGGCCTAAAACAAAGTGCAGGAACACCATACTGTACACACTTCAGTGTCTCAGTGGGAAAGGACCAACGTTGGCCTTAGTTGCCTAGGTTACCATCAATAGACATTGGCTGCAGTATAAGGCTTAAATAGTACTACAATATACTACTGTACAACAACGATTGATAAAATTCATCAAAACTTGAAAACCTCATCAAATTTACTTCACTTGTCAAGGCAAATCATTGTTGTTAAATCATGTACGATACTGTACAGTACTGTAGTAATATTATACTGTACAGGTACTGTATACTGTATACAAAAAACAGTCAATACAGTACTGTAGTAATATTATACTGTACTGTATATACAAAAAACAGTCAATACAGATACAACAACAGCACAGTAAACCATGCATTAACTTTTTCAGTGACCTCATATACAAATGATCATAATTCAGAATTTACCTTATTTTGGCAAAGGTACAGCCCCCATTATTCAAATTAAAAGTTTTTTATTTATTTAAAACCATGTTTTCTCTGTAGTAGTAACAATCTAAGAAGACCTAATGGTCTCTTTCAGGCTGTTTCCATGGCAGATGGTATAAATGCTGACAATGACTACCAGTTGCCAAACCAAAGGCATTTCCCCAGAAAACCTGCATTGGCTGAGGTACCAATACGTTGTCAACAGAGAGGGACAAAAAATACTATGCAAGGTGTTTGACTGGTCCTACTTGGGAGGCAATATATCAATCAAAGATTATCTCTTCAGTACCCCTGATTTCAGTAACACTCAGTTCAAAAAGATCTTCAATACCCATCAACAGACAAAATTAAATGCTGGGGATCCAGTCACCAGCTTTGATATCAGCTTACTTTATGTTCTTTTTCAACACGTTTGTGACCTGGAAAAAGACATCCAATCATGGACTAAAGAGGAAACAGCTGGACCCTCTCTGGAAAATCTTATATACAAGGTAAAGCAACATCGGAATCACTTGGCACATGAGAGCCAGCAGATGACCGAAGAACAACTGCATCTGAAACTTGATGAATTGAAACAGCTGTATAAAAGCATAATTACTAAGGCTGCAAGTAATTTCTCAAAACCACTTGAAGAAATTAACCAGCTCATCAATACCATTAATGAGAACTTCGATGAAGTCTGCAAAAAGATTCGGGAGCCACTAGGACCAGAAGATACTGCCCAGTATCAACAAGAGGTTAAAGAACTTCGAGAACAGTTGAAGAGCGATATAGAACAAGTTGCAATAAAAGAGGTGAAGCAGCTATATCTTGATGCTTGTGACATAGACCCAGTGCCATGGTTACTGATGGACTGTCAAGTGAAGCCAACACAAATATTTACTAAATTTCTCATGAATGAGGAGATCACTTCTAAAAATTTAGGAAGGGAAGAACAGCCAAAGGAGATTCCATATGATGAGATTTTCAGGGTTAGACGAGATGATGGTAGTTTGCCCAAGGTACTAATCCTAACTGGAGAGGGTGGAATGGGCAAAACAACTTTTTTGAAATTTCTGACTGAGGTGTGGATCAACAACCCAAAAGCAGTGTCTGGTTTGGATAAAACTGAACTTTTAATAAATGTTGAATGTCGCCACCCAACCATCAGCACTTTTGACCAGCTACTAAAACACATACTCCATGACACACCAAGGAGTATAAATGTAGAGTTTGAGCATATTAAAGATACAATTCTCCACATGCAGCTACTCATCCTTGTAGATGGGTTTGATGAAGTCAATCATGCCTCTGGATGTCTAATCCAAGAACTACTAAGTCTCCCTGGAGAAAATATAAGGATCATCTTCACTACCAGACCAAGTAGCACAAGTGCCCTTGCTAAACTAGTGCCACACTCCAAAAGACGAATAAACTTGGTCCTTCGTGGCATTACCCAGGATAATCACCAGCAGTTTGTTGAGCAACTTTATTACAGCTTGGAGGGGGAAGAGAGATATTCCCATATTAAAGGGCAACTGAAAGATCACTTGTCATTCTTACAGCAACAGCTTGGAATGCATCTGAATAACCCATTGACTCTCACACTCATGACTTTTCTCTATGTCTTAGATCCAAACAGAGTCAATTTTCTCACCACTGCTACTGAGCTATATGAAGAGCTTAGGAAGATGATTACAGATAAACTTGTTATGAGACTATCCAAAAGTTTTATAGAGTCAGAACTAGACTTCAAATGTTACCAGTTTCTGGACTATAGTGATGAATTATCCTACAGGGCTATGAAAAGGCAGGAGTATGAATTATATGAGGAAACAGTAGAAAATTTAAAACAGAAATGCCGGGACTTGGGCCTGCCACATGAGGAAGTTTTGTCTGCTTATTTCACCACTCGCCGATCAAGGCAAGGTTTGCGTATTGTTTTGTATTTTACCTACCATCATTTAAGACTACAAGAATTTGCAACAGCTAAATATCTACTGAAGAAACTCACCCATTCTGCTGAAACAGAAAATACTGTCAAACATTTCGTTAAAGAAACTGAAGAATGGAAGATAGAGAAGAGGTTTCAGAATGTACTCATCCACCTAACAGGACTTCTTGCAAAATCTTACAAAGATATCTTGGCCATATATGCAACATCTATACTGGAACTCGTCTCTCTCAACTCCACCAATATTGACACCGTGCTCGCTCATGTCACAGAGTCAAAAGACAATGAAGACATTGTCAGAGCTGCAGCAGCAAAGCTTGATGCACACAGCAGAGATGGAAAAGGTTGGTGGGAGATTAATGAAGGGAATAACTTTTGTGCCATACCATCAGTACTGAATCACACTAAAGAGTATCCAGAATTGGTAATGCTTAGTATTGATTTTTATGGTACCATGCATCCCCAGCTTGCATTAGCATTCTCCAGTTTGTCAAAACAGAGCACCAGACTGGTACTAGACATCCCTCAACTTTATTTTAATACTAATTTATGCTATGCTGATGATGTGGTAACGAAACTGTCAGGTTCTGGAGGATTGTGCCGTTTAGTGGGATTTCGTGGCCCTCTGTCTCCAGCGGCACTGTTGAATCTAACTGATACTGTGGAAGAACTCCGCCTACGCATTGATGCCAATGGTCTCCAAGCCCTGAATTTTCGACTCCCCAGTCTCTCTCAGCTCAGTATTCTAGGTGAGTAACCGATTTTCACTTAATAAAGCTGTGTGTATCGATGAGAACCAATAAAACAAATAGCTAGCTATCTAGACAATTTAGGAATGCAAGTGTACCCCAAAAACCAACGTTCCGTTAACTGCTGATTCGCATAACCGACAATTACATATAGAGGAAATACCCTGCAAGTTTCATTGATACTCCGGAGATCCGACGATCGGCAGAACTGTTTTGAATTCGGCGGGCAGTGGAATTGTGTGAATTCTGTCACCAGAGGGCTCTGCACACTGTACTGACTCATTCCTGCCATCTTTCCTCTTTTTTACACTTACTTTGTGTGTCTGATTTTGTGTATTTTTTATTTCCAACTTATGGTAAGTGTGTTACTCAATCATGCCTAAATGCCCCAGTGATAGTTCCTTGTGCTTGGCAACTTGATGTGATGTGATAAGGCATAAGGTAATAGGGCATAACAGGAGTGGTTTTGGACCAGCAAAGAGTATTATGGACTTGAACTTGCCACCTTAGACTGTCCCTACCATCCTCAACACAGGTAAATACTGTAATAGTCTCAGTTTATGCTTTAATTTGCTTATTTAAGGCTTATTATGCTTTCTTTATATGTCAATCTCTCATTCCCGGAAGTTGCTCTGCACCAATTGTTCCGGCTAATGGGGATATCACTGTATTCCTCAAAACCTCGGAAAAATACTTCATTCTTTCACTGTAATGTACAGTCAGCCAAAAAAATTTCTGCACCTTTATGGTGTTATACAATATGACACACCTGACCAAGAACTCTGAAAAACACTCATTTATGCATGCGATTCCTGTTAATTTCTATGTTTTAACTATATGTGATATAAAAAATACATCATACTGATTATACAATGCATCACACAACCAGAAATAATAACCTTACCAAATTAACATGGCCTCAGTTAGTAATCGTTGCAAGAGGTCATGCAACGTGTGACTAGTGACAGCCCTCATATACCAAAATTTATCGTCCATGGTCTCATATTGTTTCCCACAAAGTATGCACAGATATTTGTTTTAGCTACTGTACATCCTCTGATTCTATGGGTTTAATATCTCCTTGTCACTATACACACACCATCAAAAGTAATTTTCTTAAACTTTTCAGGATAATTACTTGCTGCTTCAACACTGGCACTAGCAGCCTCACTCTTATGTTATGTAAATTTGTCAGAGAATGTCATTACTGAAATTACATAATGTTTTATTTTCAATGCAATAAACAAAACATTATCATAACCTAAATTTGGAATTTTACATTAATAACAAAAATACCATAAGTAACATACAGTACAATACAGTGGTCCCTCAGTTAACGAACACAATTCGTTCCACAGAGTCGTTCGTTAACCGAATCCATTGTTTCAATGGGATATTGGGTAATTGGTTCCAGCCCACAGAAAAGTACATACAAAGTAAAAAAAGAAATATGCAGTTAAGTACACTTACTTTGAGGCGTGTATGTAGAAGGTTCCTGGTTGATGCTGATGATGGGAATTAGAAGTGGGGGTGGAGGAGAAATCACCTTTCAGGGAACCCGTGCTTGATGCAGTAATTTCACCAATAAAATTTTAAGTTCACTCGGTGTAATTCAATATTATTTTGTTTAAATCAACACTGCACTGCGCTATATATTATCAATATGTTAACTAAATTTCAGAATGACCAATAATTTTAATGTAAAAATGCAAAAATATTCGAGACACCAACAAAATCGATGTTCACTCCACTGTAAACAGAGCCCAACTGACGCCTTGTGGCTGAGTCAAGCATCTGAGGGACGCACAAAAAACTAGTTCCGTGTACTGCATATATTATCAATATGTTAAATGAATGTTAAAATGACTAAAAATTTTAATATAAAAAATGCAAAAATATTAAAGAGCACAACTTTCTTGATATTTACTCCACTGGAAATGAATGTAAACATAGAACAGATTACTGAATTGGCAGACTAGCCCATCAGCTGATGCTCACAACAAAACGTGTTTGTCGTAAGGATTTCTTTAATCGAAGTTTTGTTCGTTAACCGAATTGAAGATCCTTATGGGAGGTAATTCGTTAACCGAAATTTCGTTAATCGAACCGTTCGTTAACCAAGGGACCACTGTAGTATAAATAATTTCCTCCTAAGTTACTGTATATTTCTTATTCCGTCTCTAATTACTGTATGTTTCTTGCTTACTCTTGTGTGTTTATTGGTTCACTCTACAGTATGTAGTTTTTCCAATACAGTATTTTTGTATTTAGTGCAAAATCAATATGAACATAATAATACAGTACAAGTACTGTATATTACACCATACCAGTAAATAATAATTTGGTGTTATTTTTTTATTTTTGTAAGCACATTGGTGAGTAATGGGTGAAAATAGTTGGCGATGGGACTGGTTCCCAAGGGTCCTGGAAACTAACCCCATTTTCTCATTAGCCCTTAGGTTCTCTGTTCAGTTTCGATATTCAATGCATTTTCCAGTAACTTTACCCCTGCCAATATTGAGGGAAAGGTTTACTTGTTAAGTTAAATCAAAACCGGTAGATTTCTGATTAGTACATAATTATTTATATATTTATATGATTTTTCAAACAGGTATCAGCTATTTAGTCTGATTTAGTGTAGGCTAAGAAAACAGGCCTTGTTAATGCTAAATACCTATACTGTGTCTGGCAATTTCATAGGACAAATACATCTACAGTATTTGCCTTTAATGCTATTACAATATATAGTTTATGGTAAACAAGTTTTTTTTATGACAGGGGTGAGATATGATGACGAGAAGCGTATTGACCCAAGTACACTGCCTATACTGAAGTTCACAGGACGTGATCTGTGTTTCACCTTCAACCCAAACATCACAGAAAAGGAAAGTGACTTGGATTGGGCTTGTGGAGTTCTGGCTAGATTGTGCTCTGGCAGAAACCTTAGGACCTGTACAAGTATCCTCTTCAGACACACACAGCTTACAGGTACAGTATAATAATATTTTTACAATACAACTTTTTCAATAAAATCCACCAACTTTTTTTTCACAGTTCTACATAAAATGTAGATGATTTTCTCTTGACAGCAAAATAAATTATGATTAACAGTGATTGGAACAATTCATTGAAACATACTGTACATTGATACACTTGGGGTAGGTTCCTGGATAATGCCATGGATTTTGAATTCACATTAGTGAATATTTCTGACTAATGGGTAAGATGGGATATTATTCTGGTCTCTGAATTTCCACCCTATACCTTTGAGACTTAACAACATAATATCCTAAATAGTCCATTATACTGTAGTAATGATCTTCAGATTCTGGGTTACAGTACAGTGCCTGTAGCTATGTGTCACATAACAGTGTACAATATACCTAAGAAGGGAACCAGGCCCTTCAGGGATTGAGAGTGTCAAAAGACCTTTCCTGAAGTACTGTATAGATATATCTTTTATGAGCATCACTTGCCTTCTAGTAGTAGTACTTTCAGCCATTTTGGTGGTGACCCCTGCAGAAGGTGAACTTACTGTATATACTACATGTCATATTTAATCCACAAAAAATCATGACTTGATTTGCTAATATTGGCTGTACAAACACTAATGGGAGGCATCAGTTTCTTTCTTTTTTTCACCAGCTGTGATAAACGATTATGAGTAAAAATTTAATTGTCTCAGTAAAGAAGTTGTACTGTACATGGCTATCAAGAATCAACAAAATTCTCTCTCTCTCAAGCCCATTTTATTAAAAATATATTAATATTTTCCATAAATTACAACAATATTTTCAATAGAAATCCAGCAGACAATCAATTATTTTACTGTCAATCCATATGCTACATATTGGTAACTGGAATGTGATATTTATTTTAGTCATGTAATATACAGTACAGCTTCACTGGACTTATGGAAGTCTGTTTATTTTTTAGAACACAAACACATGGGGCCCCATGGTCAAGTACGGTAGGGGTCATGAGAGAGCAGAAGTGAGAAATGCCTTTTTTCTGTTTTATAGCTCTCTTAGTTATGAATGTAGAATAACATAGTTGTGTTAGTTTGCTAAGAATCTCTCTATCTCTTCCATTTAGGCAAAAAGAATAAAAAAATGGATCTTTTTGTATGAGTAGAAACCACATGATGTATCGGAAATACAGAATATCTATTTACTCACCCCCTATTGTTACCCATTATCTTCTGACAGCAGCATTTTTTTTTGTTGCTATACACCTGAAAAATTATAAGTAATTATAAGTACATGAATATTTAAACAAAAAATGAAAATTATTGCAAATGAGAACATAAAACCAGTGTGGAAGCAAAGGTAAAATACAGTAAATCCCTGCATAACTACAGTAGGTACACTGAGTAACTGCAAGTACCATTTGTTATCACCTTAGGTCTCCTTCATGGCTCAGCAAGCTAAGGTCTACTCCGAACCTACCTGTTTGATTTAAATGTGCTTGTCTAAGACATCATCAATATGCATACTGAATTACTGTATTAAAAAAAAACTAACGTACCGGTACCTGTGGCATCCAAACTGCTTGAGTGTACAGCGCCTAATTTTCATTGCCACACATGCAGCGTCCAAAATACACGAGTGCTAACAGTACTTACATGTACTGTATATAAAAAAAGTAAATTAAGTTTACTTTAATTGTATCTGGTAAATGTAATTTGTTTTATTTATTGTATATGTGCAGCAGTTTTTGGCCCGAATGGACAGTTTTTCAGTTGGTGGTGATGTACAAAGGCCAACAAATGGCATTTTGCAATCTGAATTGACAGTTGTAAAACATGAACAGACATTCTGTATACAGTACAGTGTAACAAAAAATGACATAAGAGACATATAATTTGAGTGTGAGCATTCACTGTGCTAAGTGTCCAAGTGAATGCTTGAACTCAGTGGGTGAAATGGTGATGTTAGGAAAGTATTCCCCCTTAATCCATTAAATCTTATGGGGGAAATTGCTTTGATTTACATCACTTTGATAACCATCTCACATTTTAGGGATGCATCACCAACATAAACTGGGGTCTTACTGCATTCCATCCAAGTAACCTCATTATGGGAGTAGAATAACAGGATTTTTATTTAATATGAACGTTTTTGTCCATTCTTCATGTTCGCTGTCGCACCTTCTGGCAGTCACCATAAGGTAGGGGCGGGCAGATCCAGGGGGAGGGTCCTGGGGGTCCAGACTCCCTCCTTTCATAAGACAATTCCAATACTTTTTCTTTAAAGCAGTATTGTACTCGGGCATTTTTGTAATAGTAAAAAGTAATTCCTATTGACTTTAGAATATCTCCTAATATCATGTGCACATGGATTCAAAATGACCATGATATTGGTCAGATTTCAAAAGAAAATTATTGGGGGGGGGGGGTGTTTACCATGTTCTCCCACCTACAACTCATTGGACACCCCTTCTGGATATTCCTGGATCCGTCCCTGTAAAGTCGGGTGGGTCTCGTAATACAGTATTGGGTCTTTGAGTCCAATTATGTTGCCTTATATTTCAAGAGGCACTTGGCCTTGGGCTCTAGTAAAAAAAGTGATTTCAGGACCGACCTTCCATGCTTATGATACTTCATTCATAAACATCACTCCTCCTGCAGTATTTTATATGCGGTTGAATGCTGCCATATGGCATCACAAAAATTGTGACCAAGTCCCAGGTTGCTGATCTGACTTTCTGCCTCATTTACACACAATTGCAGGGTTTCAATTGTTTCTCTTACTTTGACAACACAACATACATATATTGTTTCTCACTACAGTATTGATTTTTGTTTCCATTTTTGTATTTCTTTATGGTTCTTAATTATTATTACAGTGTTGTTATTGTTATTATTATCATTATTATTTTATAATTTTTGTATTTTTATTCGTCTATTAATTTAATTACTATGAATTATTATTATTATTATTATTATTATTATTATTATTATTATTATTATTATTATTATTATTACATTTTTGCTCCCCAGACCCTGATGTGGGTCAGTGACCTGTGCCCGGGTGGACTAATCCCCATAAAAAAATAAAATAAAATAAAAAATAAATAAAAATATTAATATTAAATATGGTTTCAAATGTTCCAATCACTGTACATTTCAAATAGGCTATTAAACAATGAATTTCCTTCATTTAATGTGAATACAAAATCTGTTTTCAATCATATTTAAGGACTAATAATATGGATTAACTTTCCACAGCTTCTGGATGTGAAAAACTTTTAATGGGTCTCCATCAGCAGGGGGTGAGGATAAAGAAGCGCATTGACATCTACATACCTCACAGATTTGAACATGATAATTACAAACACCTCAAGAACCAGAGTCGATCTTTGAACCTTGGAGACCTCTTATTGCATCTGAGTGAAGGATAAACATAATTGAAGTGATGGTTAAAATAGATGACCTTATTCAAATCATTATGAAAACAATATACTGTACATGTATAGCTAATGGACATAGCTATGTAAGATTATGAATGATTCAAGTGTTATTAAACAAAGAAGAATATTTTATTTAAATTTTTATTTAACCGTATGAAAGATCAACATAGCCAGTACAAGGGTCACTACATTGTGTGCTTGACTGACATCTTATTAGTTTTGAGTCTTTCTCCTAACTTGAGGGAAACTTATTCTCAGACCAAAGTTCCCATATACAGGGTATTACATATTAGATTGTACAATGCCAATTACAATAATATACTGTACTGTAATCACTTCTTAGACAAGACCAAATGTTCCAGTATCAAGAGATGTGACCTGTATATTCGTACTGTACAGACATAATGTTATCAGTGATTTTTTTTTTTATTTTTTTTTTTTAAGAATCGAGGTTTCTAATTCACTGGCCACTGGCTTAATCATTATGATTACACTCATTGTTGTCCAGCAAAATTGGGAAATCTTTAAAAATTTGGGGAAGGGCTGGGTCTAATGGGAAATATGTGATTTGAGGAATGAACCCGAGACACACCTGCATCAAATAGAAAGTATTGGAATTTTCTGATGAAAAAGGGGGGGGGGGGTCTTGTATTAGCCCCTATCACCCTACTATATTGTTTACGGCATAGACAAACGTCTACCGTATGACAAACTGTACTCACAGACAAGCCATGCCCAGTCTATAATGTGGACGATTTCGCTACCAGGCAAATCAACATATTCACGGATATTCATGGCCAAGTACGTAAACATTTAGCAGCGTCACGCACTGAAATAATATACTGTACAAGCAGCATAAACAAGCTAAGCCTGTCATGCTAGAAATAGGCGATGCTGCTATGGTGTGAGAACCTGAACGAAAGTCCAAGCTTTCACCCAAGTTTGACGGACCATTCCGCATTATTGCTAAAGAAGTGTGCAACAAATAAATAATTTTGAAGCCAAACTCACAAACTTCAGATGTTGTGCATGTGGACAGACAGACTTAAAAAGGAACATTCAGATTCATTCCCCAGGAATGATAATGATGTTCCAGACACAACTGTTCAAACAGCAAACACGTAAAATACACCCAGTGTATCTGATGATTATTGTTTAAAACTGCGTTCTGCGAAACGTATATAATAATGTTTCTAACTTTTCTACAATGATATTAACACAAAAAGATTTCTGAGTCTAATCATTTATTTAAATTTTTATAATTTCATGAATTCAGTGCCTACACTAGAATGATTCATTTCTTTTTCCAAGCATTTTGCATGCTACAAAATCTTCAACTCAAGCTGTATCAATTAACAAAAACGAACTAATTGCAAGTATGGTTGATGCAGGGTTAGGACGAGTGGATGCACAGCATGTGTATGTAAAAATTCTTCTTGAAGCCTTACAATAGCCAAGACGAGTTATCTGTTAACTCCAATTTTCGCAGACGAAGAGGTAGAATAGTATATCCTTGTGTTAGAGTCAACTCTCACGCACTATGTTTTCCTCATCCACGTAACGAAAGATCAGAGGAAAGAGAACAATTAATGATGAGAAAACTTAAAAATTACGTTGCCTGTGTGGCTGTGGAGTTCTTCGGGCACACAGACAGTATCGGTGATCTTTAGCCATCTGTGTTGAAGTTCTGGACTCAGTGCTAATTTAAAAGTTAAAATCAGTAAATTATGAGTAGCTACAGTACAGTACATAAAAATGTAATCCCAACGAAATATACAGGAGGTAAAAGGTAAAAATAGTCAGTTCCTTCCTAACATAAAATAAGACCTGTACAGAACACAATGAATATTACTTTTTGTTTTTCAAAGTGAGAGGATAGAACTTGTTTACTGGTACATCTATACAGTACAGTATAATTAATAATATGTATGCAGAAACAAATTAACAATAAGATTATTGCAGCCTAATATTTATACAGTTTCATACAGTATGTATACAATTACTTAAGTGTTTTTGTCTTATATTGTAGTATACAGTATTTTGAAATTTCTGAAATGATTCATACTCATCTAAATATTCAATATGCTATTTATTTATTAATGAAAAACGTGCCACTTACAGTGTATTGAACAGTAATCCTCCGAGGGTCGACACACGGCCTTCAGGATTGTGCCTCAGACAGCTTCATTAAATTCTGACGCTCCACTGAACCACGATTGCCAAGGGCCCAAACGAGAGACGAAATCCGCTAAGCAAAAATATTTGAATTTCTTTCTCTTTCATTAACGCTTAAAAAGATTTAATATCCATTTACGTACGTACAGTATGTTTATGAGGAGTGAGAAGTGACACATTGAGGTCATTTAAATAAATCAGATATATTTTTGGGCTTAATTCATAGAGTACAGTACAGTACTTGATTTACCTGATTGTTAATATTTTTATCAGCTTAGCAGATTGAAGGAAGGTTGGGAATTATGTAAAGAGTCTTTAAACCAGATGAAATGTTAAAGGTGTACAGTATTGTACTGACTGTGTACAGGTTAGTAATATTCTTACTTTGACAGAATCCATGGGTACCAGCCCACAGATACTATCATACACATTATCCCACAGTTTCTAGCGTACAGATACTACTCCACAGTTACTATCCCACGGTTACTAGCCCACAGATACTATCACACACACACATTATCCCACAGTTACTAGTCCACAGATACTATCCCACAGATACTATCCCACATATACTATCCCACAGTTACTAGCCCACAGGTACTAGCCCACAGATACTATCACACACACATTATCCCACAGTTACTAGCCCACAGGTACTATCACACACATACTATCCCACAGTTACTAGCCCACAGATACTATCCCACACATATTATCCCACAGTTACTAGTCCATGGGTACTATCTTATAGGTACTATCCTACAGGTACTATTTCTTCCTTTTCTCCTTTTTATTACTCTTCTTCTTCCATCCATTTTGTACATTTCTCTTCTCACTCCTTCGACTCTTCTCCTCCTTATATATTTGACTCGTATCTGCTCTTCTCTTATGTACATTTTTCTCCTTTATCACCTCTACCCCCCACTTCTTTCTACATAGACCATTCTTTTCTCCTTCTCCTTCTCCTCTTCCTAACCCCCCTCCCGAGTGGTCATTTCCTGACTCGATATGTTGTGCCAGTTAAGAGGAGAGACAGATGCTATTTCCTTTGTAATTCTCGTTTCTTGAGGATCATTCTTCACTGTCATCACCAGCTCCGAGGTCATGTTCTTTGTGTGTAACATAGACCTTGGTGTGTAAGGCAAGATCAGTCAGGCGTCCTGTGATCACCTGATTGTCTATCACTTTTTAGATTCAGCTCGACTTTAGAAAAATATAAGAAAATCAAGGATATACTTTTTTGATAATGAAGAAAATTGTAGGACTTTTATATATACAGTACTGTATATTGTACTATTCAAGAAAATCCAAGAGAATGCATATTAGAAAAATTCAAGGAAATGTAATATATTTTTAACATCCAAAAATCTGAATTTTTTCTATAGAGAAATTCAAGAAAATCCAGGAAAACTTAAATCTAGTAAATGTGCAAAAAAAAAAATTCTAACAAGTTCAAGAAAACAGTAAGAGGGCTTTTTTTTTTAGGTAAATCTAAGAAAAATCTAGGACAATTTTTTTTTAGAAAAATCCAAGATTCTAGATAATCAAACCTTGAGACAGGAAAAAGAAATTTGATCGTCAACTATAAAAACTTCATAAAAAAATACCCAAATTCTAATTTATAAACATTCAGAATCTGGGCAAAATGTTTTGATGAACTTGTGTTTGGTGACCATAAAAGCAATTAGACTTTCATCAGATAGCCGGTTTATGATAAAACAAGTGTCAGAGGATGGGAAAAATTATACCTTGAAAAATCCCCGAGAGATGGGGAGGAGTAGGGAAGGGAGGGAGGGAGGGCGTTTTCAATCAGGCCCATAGTCATATAGAGATGCATAAACAAAGTACTGGTAGAATATCTGTAGGTGAGGAGTATAATGATGTAGTTTGGGAGAGTTGAGCATGTATATTGAGGGGTGGGAAGGGGCTGTAGCTAGAGGGAGGGGGGGGGGGAGGCTGCAGCTAGAGGAAGGGGAGGGGAAGAGGCTGTGGCGAGAGGGAGGGGTGGGGAGGCTGCAGCCAGAGGGAGGGTGGAGGAAGAGGCTGTGGCGAGAGGGGAGGGGGGGGAAGAGGTGTGGCGAGAGGGAGGGGTGGAGGGAAGAGGCTGTGGCCGAGAGAGGGTGGAGGGAAGATGCTGTGGCGAGAGGGAGGGTGGAGGGAAGAGGATGTGCGAGATGGAGGGTGGAGGAAGAGGATGTGGCAGAGGGGAGGGCGGGAAGAGGCTGTGCTGTGGAGAGGAGGGGAGAGGCTGTGGCAAGAGGGAGGGGCGGGAAGAGGCTGTGGCAAGAGGGGAGGGGAAGGGAAGAGGCTGTGGCGAGGGGAGGAGGGCTGTGGCAAGAGGGAAGGCGGGAAGAGGCTGTGGCAAGAGGGAGGGGGGGATAAGAGGCTGTGGCAAGAGGGAGGGCGGAAGAGGCTGGAGAGGGAGGGGGAGGGAAGAGGCTGTGGCGAGAGGGAGGGGCGGGAAGGCTGTGGCAGGAGGGAGGAAGAGAGCGAGAGGGAGGGAGGTAAGTGTGGCGAGAGGAGGGGAAGGAAAGAGGATGTGGCAAAAGAGGGAGGGGCGGGAAGAGGCTGTGGCGGGGAGTGGGCGGAAGGGGGGGGGGGAGGGGAGGGAAGAGGCTGTGGAGAGAGGGAGGGAGGAGGGCTAGAGCTGAGGGATGGGGCGGGAAGAGGCTGCATCTAGAGGGAGGGGGGAGGGAAGAGGTTGTGACGAGAAGGAGGGAGGAGGTAATTTATGGAGTTAATTAAGTAGGTGTGAATGTTTATCCTGTTACGCCCTCTCCTTCATCTCTACCCCCTCCCTCACCTTTCTCTCCAGTTCGCCCTTCACCCTCTCTTTTTTTTCCGTCTTTCTTCTCCCTCTCTCCATTTTAGGACTCGTCCTGTTTCCCCTCTCTCTGTTTCCTTATTCGTCCTCCTCCCCCTCCCCTTTCCCTCTTTTCCCACTTATTCTCCTCCCT